AAACTCACCAGCTGCTCCACTCAAGAAAGATGTGGCAGTCTGCTTCTATAAAGATTTATAGCTTTGGGAATCCTGTGGGGCACTTCTACTCTGTCCTATAGGGTCACTGTGAGTCAGAATTGACTCAATGGCAGTGGGTTTTGGATTATGATTGTAACTATGGAGCAGTTCTGCTCTGTACATGTGGGGTTGTCACAAACTGGAATTGACTCTAAGGCAACTAATAACAACAAATTACAGTTGAAAATTTTTTCATTGAATAAATGAATCCTGAGGAATTGATCAAACTCATTGCTTTCAAAACATTTCCAATGTATGGTGACCTCGTGTGTTATGGAGTAGAACTGCTCTAGAGATTTTTCTTGGTTGTCATCTTCAAAGAAGCAGATTAGTAGGCTTTCTTTTGTGGTGCCACTGGGTGGATTCAAACTACCAATCCTTAGGTTAGTAGTTGCACAAAAACAGTTTGAGCCACTCAAGGACCTTCTACAAATATTTCTAGTGAGTTAACTTTGAGCAACACACTGTAAGAAAAGTCTTTACCTATCCCCAACCCATTAGAGTGATTTTCAGAAAGAATCAGTAACCTCTTCTATCCCTAGGAGCATAGTGCCTAAGGCACTTGACTGCTAACCAGAAGGCTGGCCGTTCAAACCCACCAAACACTCCTTGGAAGGGAGGTTGGGCAATTTACTTCCGTAGTGATACCACCTCGGAAACCCAAGGAGGGGCCACTATGACTTGGATCCGACTTGACAGCATATAACAACATACAATCCCTATTTGATCATACTTCATACAATGGCTTCATTTCTCGCCTCCACAGAGAGCCCTGCATGTTCCAATGCAAGACTCCTATAGTAGCTTAAATCAGATATAAACATCTTCATGAAACAGTATTTATAATGTAGAATATTAAGTCTTTAATCTATACACATTTTTCTCTTCATTGACATAACACACACACACACATGCACAGCTGCAATATATTTATAAACTTTTGACTTTCCCTCTAGATTTCCATAAACAGCTGTAGTGCTTTATTTATAACTAGTTAAAAAATATTTTCTGTTTTTCATGACTAATTGTATAAGCAATAATAATTAGGACATAATGGAATATGATTTTTTTCTCATCTAAATTTACCCACCCAATAATTTAAAGAATGAAGTGCAGTCTTTTATCATTATAATCATCATCATATGATATGGTCATATGGGAATTTATTTTGCATATTTTTCCTGACACTTCCAGACTCTCAAGTTCTTTACCATGGTATTACTCTTAACCTGTTAGAAGCATCTATTCTTTAAGAGTCATATATTCTTTTTTTTTATTTTATTTTAAATAATTGGCTGAAAGTTTGTTGGAGAATAAGGAGCTCTGGTAGCACAGTGCCTAAGGCTTTTGACTGCTAACCAGAAGGTTGGTGGTTCAGACCCACCAGCCACACGGTGGAAGCAAGACTGGGCAACCTACTTCCATAAAGATTTACTGCCTTGGAAACCCAAAGAGGGTTGCTATGAGTGGAATCGACTCAATGGCAGTGAGTTTGATTTTTGTTGTTGTTGTTGTTGTTGGGGAATAGGATGTTGATACTCTTAACTTCTCTCCCCTCAAATTACATATATGACTCTTTGAGGAGACATTAGAGAGAGGCTGATGTAGAAAATGAGGAATAGAGAAATCAAATGATACAATCTGTTTATTGGAAACACACTGGATCAATACCCTGGGAAATGTTTGCAATATAGTGCACAATATAGGAGGTGTCTCAAATTGGTGCTAAGTCCTCTAGAGTCATCATAGAAACCCAGAAAGGTAAAATGGCTTGCTCAGGTCCACAGAGCAAATGGGCAAGCTGAAACCAGAATCAAGGCCTATGGGCTTCTTTTGAAATAATGACTTTCTGCAATATTTTCCATTGGTAAAACAATAAAATAGATGTGGTTATCACACGTCCTCCTTCCTCGAGACACTCCTGAGGGGTAAATTAAACATGCACAGTAAAAAGGTGTTTCCTTAGGGAAGCAGGGTTGGCACACTTACACTTCCTAGAAAAGGCACTCAATTGTTAGGTCTGCTATTTGCTGGGCATGGTGACAGTCATTTCCACACAATAGTCTGTTTAAAGGGTGCAGGACTGGGAAGTGATTTAGACCTGGTACAGATTCTGGCTTAAACTCTTTGATAAATTTAGAGAATGCACTTTTAAATTGAATAAGAAACAAATTTCTTATTGTTTCAGTGTATAAAATTTCTTTTTTTTTAGATGTGAGATTTTTTTTTTCTTTTTCTTATTTAACTTTATTTTCATTTATAAAGAGAAGGAAAGGACAGAAGGCAAGTATACTTAGAAGTTTTTAGTTAAATTTAAATTAACTTAGTGGCTGACATGCATAGAAAACAAAAATATTATACCTTCACAATGTCATATTTCAATGAAATCATCAGTGTATAAAATTTCTTTTCTCAAACAGATTATTCAGTTCTTTAAGTGTGAAAGTAATGTTTTCAATTCCATTCTCTGCAGCGCCTAACAGTGTTCTGGACACAAAATGGTGCTCTTTGAAGACCTAATTTGTGGATAAAGGAATTCAAGGAATTCTTTGAAGACCTAATTTGTGGATAAAGGAATTCCGTTTTACCAACGGAAAATATTGCAGAAATATTTTTTTCCAGGGACAGTTCCTTGCAGGTCTTCATTTTACATAGGTGGACTCTGAGGAGTTGACTGACCATCTGGCTTTGAAGATTTTCATTGAAGAGTTGGAAACATATTTGAGATCTAGTCAGGTGCTGGATCTGGAGTCAGGTCACCTGAGGAAGGGTCTGGCTTTGTTAGTACATGACTATGTGGCCCTGGTATGCTACTTAATCTTTCTTGGACTCAATTCCTTCATTTCCAGCAACAAAATGAACAGACTAAGTCCTGCCTGCCTATTCTTTCCCAGATTTGGGGTAAGGAACACAGAAATAGCATAGTAACTTTCAAAGCAGCAATGAATCGAAAGTGAAGATTAAATGAAGCAAACAAATTAAATCAAGCAATCTAAATTAAATAAAACCATACAAAATAACTGTTTTATTAATATACGTTGCAAAGATTAAGTGTTCTTCTACGTCTACAGATTCTGAGTTCCAAATTAGAGGAATTCTCTTTCACATATGGGTTTTAAGAAGACATTATTTAACAAACAATTGAATCAAGCTTTCTATATGACAAGTATGGATAAGCTTTTTACAATAAAGAACTCATTTAATCTTCATAACACCTCTGTGAGGTAGAGGCTATTACTGCCACCTATTTTATAAATGGGGAAACTGAGGCACAAAAAGTGAAGCAACTTGACCAAGATCAATTTTTTTAAAAAATTGTGATTTGGGTGAAAATTTACAGAGCAAATTCACTTTCCATACAGCAGTTCACATACACTTTGTCTCATGACATTGACCACAATTTACCACAATGC